TAAAGACTGGAATAGTCAGTAAATCATCATCACCTAAAGAACAGGAAGGACAAGAGTCCCTTGTTGCTGTTCCCCAACCCAACACTGCTCTAGTTGTTCCTCTTCTGAGCCCTCCCTACGATGTTATTTCTCCCTCTCACAACTGTGGAAATTCCCCTTTCTCTGCTCCTTCCTCCTTAGCACAATGTGCCATTAGCTGGCCTAGAGCTGAGAAGATGAGACTATATTCAGACTGAACTATCTGACTCCAGGGAGACAGAACAATGACTTACAGGAACAAATGTTTGGTCTTTTCAGTCTGAGTTTCAGTCTTACACAGTTTCAAAGGAGCTCTGAGTGGGATCTGTGTCTTTTCTGGCTGATGAAGACTAGTGGGGAAGTACAGGATCAACTGTTGGAAATTATCAACATTTCCCTACTAGGAATGGAAAGGATAGAGTGCTTGTTGACCATAAGCAGCTATTGTACAGCTCCTGTTTAAGAACCTAGTGTTTGACATTGACAAGCTATTTGCATTACTGTACAAAGCATATTTTCTGTACTTATCATAGGTTTGGGCAACATTGAGAACACTACACAGAGAATGAATCAAACCCAGGCCTGCTAGACCAAATACCTAAGATTTTCTCTCGAAAAAGAAGAAGAATGTTAGGCTGCTGTTGTACTGAGACCTCTGCCCATCATGCTGACCGATATCATCTCACTGTTTCCAAGTGCTCCCTTATCCCGTATTGTATCTACCGTTGTCTCTTGTCTTATACACAGACTGTCAGCCGTCTGGTGCAGGGACTGTCTTGCTGTTCTGTGTCTATGCTGTGCCTAGCAAAATGGGGTCCTGATCCGTGACGAAGGCCTCTATGGTAATACAAATAATAAATCATGACTAATTGAAGAAGATCTGAGAGATCAGGATCTCTACCTATTGTACTGTCCTCTAGGGTTTTAGGAATTACCTTATACTTTCTCACTGACCGAAATCTTGTAACTAGAGTATTTGTAGGATTTTTTTCCTGACAACCCTAATAAAAACTCTCTTATTAGCTGGTGAGCATGTGAGCTTACAGCTTAGTATTTGAAGTACCTACAGTACTTGCTTTTATGCTACATCTGGCATGCCACCAAGTATATGAAAGGCTTTGGTGCTCTAGGACACTGACAATGAAACTCTGCAGAGGGGGTCGACTATACTTGTTCAAACTCCTTATGCGTTTCCTACTCAATTTGTATACCTTTCATTTGAAGTTAAATGCAGTGAACAAGGGGTTGTATGTTTATTTCAGGTTTAATTATGGAACTGTACTTTGACTTCACAATAAAGCCGAATAGATTTTCTTAGGAAAACTCTTGGGCCTTAAGTCTTTATTACTACTGGATTCTGGTATAAAAACAGCTGTGAACTGCATCTTTTCCATCGCCATTTATGACTTTCACACTCCAATGATAGCTTTAAGTCTTGCAATCACCAACGAAGCCTGGGACAACTTGGCAAAGCATTAGGAAATATGATCTTATGAGCCCATGGAGATAAAAGAATTTCTGATAAAAAGAATTCTTGTTAAAATCTGGACATCTCTGTGTCAGGTTACATAGCTGAGAGCAGCTCACCTGGCTCAAAAGAACAACTCCTAAGACATTTTAAAACTATGAAGCCATTTTGAAAGCTGCTGCTTCTCTAATGGGAACATGGTTGGTCTAGCTGATAAAAAGTCCAGTTGAAAATATGCCAAAATCCGAGGAGAAATAAAGAGCAAAAAAAGACCTGTCAGGTATGTCTCTGATTAGACTTTGAAGGCAGAAGCCCTGCCATCAGGAATGGTAAAATAAAATAATGCTACTAATTATTAATCAATTATTATTAAATAAATAATAATAATAATAATAAATAATAATAATGGAGATAACCAACAATACCACTAGTGTGGTGGGTGCCAGGTTTAAAAGACTAGAAGGAGAACAGATGCAATTTAATATTTTCCTAACGATCTGGAGGTTAATATAAAACCACTGCTGATAAAATTTGCAGATAACATAAAGACTGGTGGAATGGTAGATAATGATGAGGACAGGACAGTCCTACAGGGTGTTCTGGATCACTTGGTAAGCTAGGCAAATTCAAATAAAGTTCATTTTAATACAGCCAAATACAAAGTTATCCATCAAGGAACAAGGAATGCAGGCCACACCTACACAATGGGGACGACGTGAGGGGTTGGATCACAGAAACCCTCTTGGGACTGCCACCTGATGTGCCTAGACTACCTCTGAGCCCGTTTTCCCTGCCTGCTTGGGACTTCAGCACGTTTCCTTGTTTGAGCCAGACATGCTTGCTTGCTGCAAACACAGATCCAAGTCTGAACCACATCCCCCACAAGCTGCAGGCTTAACTGAAAACAGCTTAAGAAGTGTTCCTGTCTCCTGCACTCAGATACCCAGCTCCCAATGGGGTCCAAACCCCAAATAAATCTGTTTTACCCTGTATAAAGCTTCTACAGGGTAAACTCATAAATTGTTTGCCCTTAATAACACTGATAGAGAGATATGCACAACTGTTTGCTCCCCCAGGAATTAATACTTGCTCTGTGTTAATTAATAAGTAAAAATTGATTTTATTAAATATAAAAAGTAGGATTTAAGTGGTTCCAAGTAATAACAGACAGAACAAAGTAAATTACCAAGCAAAATAAAATAAAGCACGCCAGTCTAAGCCTTATACAGTAGAAAACTGGATACAGATAAAATCTCACCCTCAGAGATGTTTCAATAAGCTTCTTTCACAGACTGGACACCTTCCTAGTCTGGGCCCAATCCTTTCCCCTGATACAGTCCTTCCAGCTCAGGTGGTAGCTAGGGTATTTCTCATGACTGCAGCCCCCTTTGTTCTGTTCCACCCCCTTATATATCTTTTGCACAAGGCAGGAATCCTTTGTCCCTCTCTGGGTTCCCACCCCTCTTTTCAATGGAAAAACACCAGGTTAAAGATGGATTCCAGTTCAGGTGACATGATCACATGTCACTGTAAGACTTCATTACCCACTTGCCAGCACACAGGTATACAGGAAGACTTACAAGTAAACAGAGCCATTTATAACAATTGTCCCGGTTAATGGGAGCCATCAAGATTCCAAACCACCATAAATGGCCCACACTTTGCATAATTACAATAGGACCTCAGAGTTATATTTCATATTTTTAGTTTCAGATACAAGGACTATACATTTATACAAATAGGATGACGACACTCAATAGATTATAAGCTTTGTAATGATACCTTACAAGAGACCTTCTGCATGAAGCATATTCCAGTTATATTATATTCACACTCATAAGCATATTTTCATAACATCATATGGAGTGCACTGTCACAGATGGTATCCTGGAAAGCAGTGACTCTGAAAAGGATTCAGGGGTCATAGTGGGCAAACAACTGAACATGAGCTCACAGAGTGATGCTTTGCCAAAAAGGGCTAATGCAATCCATGGATATATATATATAAGTAGGGGAGTAATAAGTAGGGGTATGGAGGTGATTTTATCTCTGTATACAGCATTGGTGAGACCAATGCTGGAATACTGCATAAAGCTCCAGTGTCCAAATTTTTGTTAAAAAATTGGAGACGGAGCAGAGAAGAGCCACAAAAATGATTTGAGGGCCGGAAAGAATTCCTTATAGTGAGAGATTTAAAGAGCTCCATCTGTTTAATTTATCAAAAAGAAGACTGAGCGGTAACTTGATGACAATGTCTAAGTACCTTCACAGTTAAAGAATACTGGGTACTACAGGGGTCTTTAATCCAGTGAAGAAAAGACACAACAAGAACCAATGGCTGGAAGCTGAAGCCAGACAAATTCACATTAGAAATAAGGGACCAATTTTTAACAGTGAGGGTGATTAGCCATTGGAACGCATTGCCAAGGAAAGGGGCGGATTCTCCGTCCCTTGATGTTGTCAAGTCAAGACTGGATGCCTCTCTGGAAGGTATGCTTTAGCTAAACGCAAGTTATGGACTTCAATATAGGCATAACTGGGTGTCATTTAATGGCCTGTGATCTACAGGAAGACAGACTCAAAGAGCTAATGTCCCTTCTGGCCTTAAAGTCTGTGAATCTATGCATCTAGAAAGGAACACAAACCTGATTGAATTTGTATGTACCTATTTACTGCATTTCTACAGCAAATATGACAATGGCATTTTATGGGAATCACTGCTTTCTTTATACTGAAACTTCTCATGCAGCTTTAAGGCTTTTCTTTCTATATTGTGTCCTGTCATAAAAAATCAATTTAAACCCCCCCCCCCTGCAATGGCATAAGTCATCCAAAGGCTTTTTTCCAGAATATTATCATCTAACCTGGTGCTTTGATAACTAAACAAGAACAGCATTTTTTAAATGACTCAGGTCCCCCCTTCTTTGTATACTGAGGCGGTCCAAATGTAAAACAAGAGCTATCAGCATCATCCTATTGCCTTTTGGTACTTTGTGCCCAGAGCCTTCCTCCCATCCCTGATAGGATTGTTTGTGCACTGCTGCTCCTTCCTGTGCATCTCTCTCTTGCTCTCTCTCTCTCTTTCTCCCTCTCTCTGCTGTTGCTGAACTGCAGTTCCCACTGGAACTTGCACAGTCAAAAACAGCTCTTGTCTCCTACACCAGTGAATCACATCACCTGAAGAAGAAGAGGAGCAAAAAGAATGCACTAGCCTGGTTGCTTATAAAACACGAGGAGCACATCCAGAGGAAAGGCAAGGATTTATGTGAGACCCACTCAGCCAGAGCTTTGCTGCCTGTGGTTTGTGGGCTGTCACTGGATTTTATAGGAGTTTACGTTTATGCGTTTGAGGAATGTTTAAGCACAGCTGATCGCCTATTGCAGCCGAAAGCTGGCAGAGGCTGCTGCTGCTGCTGCAGTAGCTGTTGCAGGAGGATGAATGTGTGACAGATCGTCGCCTGGGCACTGCTTGTGATTCTCCAGTCCTACTCGGGCTTCATTAACTGTCTGGAGAAGAGATACCGAGGATCACAGATGCACTAACTAAGCAGGTGCCACACTGGATCTATCACTGTGTACTCCTTATTGTGGAAAATGGTCAACAAAGACATGAATGGATTCCCAGTCAAGAAGTGCTCAGCCTTTCAATTTTTTAAAAAGAGGGTAAGGCTTTTCTTTCAGTTGTTCTTTCTTTTACATGCCATTGTAAGGGGGAGTCCGTGGAGGAGGAAAGTGTTTTAGTCACAATGTCCTACTGTAAGTGGACGCATGAACTCCTAGTTTTACTATACACCAAGAACCATGAAATTGTACACAAAGGGGGGGATTGAATGATGTAAGCAATGTTTGCTGTGGAACGTATATCTCAATCGCAGCTGTACCACAGAGCTTGACGTAATAGAACTGGATATTCAGAACAGAATAAAACACTCTGAATCAGAGTCCAGGGATGTTGCAGCATCTCTCACTCTCTGCCTCCCTCCCCCCACACCCACTTATGGGTTCGACTTGCTCTACACCTTTCATTCACTAGTCTGAAGTGCTGCATTACCCTCTTCATTCATCACTGTGAATAAAGATGCTCATGTGCTCAGCAGAATCTGTCAGTCTATAATTTGCCACATAGCCACAACCTGTATTTACCTTCAAGGCAGGAGGAAAGTATCAGATAGTTTGCAGATCTACAGGACACCTGTCACTTAAATCTCTTGATTTTTTTCCTCTTCTCTTTTGGTTAGTATGGCAGAATGATTGCAGCTCATTTCTTAGGTGAAAAGCTGCAGGGTGCTGTATTTGACTGTTACTGTCCTCTTGAAAATGTATGTCTTAAGCTTCGCATCACTACTTTAACAGCATTCATTGTGTTTCCCTGACTCTTTAGGAACACAGTAATGCTCAATCTCCATTCAACTCTGCTTATGGCAATAAAGTCATTTCCGTGGGCAACAAGAATAGAGTTTCTGAATAGACCTGGGCAGAAAGGGAGCAAAGATGCTAAGCATCAGAGACAGGCTGACAGCAGGAACTGGAGAGGAGTTACTGAATGATTAAAAATATAAGCTCTCGCTTTAAAGAAATGGAGTAGCACTAGATAAACTGCTCCATTCATTCATTCATTCCCATTCATTCTCTCTCTGTGTTATGGTCACTCCATTTAACCCTCCCATCAAAGACAGTGAAGCCTTTCCCAACCACTGAACTATGAGCAGAGACCAACAAATTCAAAGTGCATCAAATGGCAAAATTTAAAGGGCAGAACTGGAAAAAATACAAGCAGTTTGTCATGGAAAGGCTCATTTGGAGAAAACATATCATTGTTCACATTTGTTATTATTATTAATGATTATTTGTATTGTATTGAGAAATTGTAGATACGGTGCTAGGCACTGTACAAACACAGTCTACAAAAAAAGTCTGTGTCCTAAAGAGTTTAAATGCTAAGTAAATTATTTTTCATACATTTACATTTCATACATTTTTCATCAGTAAGGCTTTCCTGGGATCCAAAGCTTCCAAAAGGTCTATGATAAAAACAAGTATATTATTAAAGGGTGGTGGGGGGGGAATCACTTGCAGTTCATATTTGAGTTAAACACTGCCAGGTTGTCTCCTATTTCCCTGTACAGTAATAAGACTATTTAATGTGGGAAGCTTCTGCATCTACAGTCTATGAAGTGGGAGAATTGTCTTTGCAGGATGAACTTATTGCTCCCTGATCTTCAATAAAATTCCCTTAGGAGGAGTTGTTTTTTTTTTTAATGACTGTTGTATCTGTAGAAAATATCCCAGTGAGAGTCTCAGAAAAATGGAATGACAGAAAATTTTCATTGTCAATAACTGAGTGTTTCAATTTATCAGGTTTTATATTTGATACTACTGGTACAAAGACAGATGAGGGCTTTTTAAAAATCAGTAAAACTAATTTAAAATCACAAAGGTAGAAAACTCCATCATTTTCATTGATATGTAAATGTACTTATTGAACTGTCTGTTAACCAGATCATTCCCCATTCACAAAAAGCCCAGCACACAAATATCACTTACAAAGTGCCTGCGTCAGTCCTCGAATGACATGCAGTACAAGGGGAGAAAGCTGCCTGTTCTTAATGTGAATGTGTTGTTGAGAATGATGCAGGCTTACAGCAAATTACCTGCTGCTGTTATGCTGAACTAGCTGAACATACTGTATTTGACTAGCTGGGAGATTGTTAGAGGCAGAGCCAATTCTGTGCCAAACTGGTGTTCTGGACCCATCCTCGGAAGTCTACCAAAGAATGGCAAGGGAAAAATACATGAGACATCTGGGGAAGCCTATGGGTTAAGTTCATTGAATCAAACATGATGTCCTGTTTTTTTCTTATTTATTATTGTTGGGATTTCAGTAGCATCTGGACTGGAGGACCCTCATTGCAAATAATCTAGATCTCTACCCAGAACACAAACCAGAGAGTTTAAAGATTAGGAGAGCTATGGAATACAGGTGACTGGTCAGCTATTCAACATAGAAAATTTTCTAACTTATTTAGAGACAAAACTAACTTTGACCAACTCTCCCATGGTACCAGTACTTTCAAGTTAGGCACTATGTTTCTGAACTTTCTAGAAACCCTGTTGTGTATAGAAAGAGAACTTTAATAGCAGCAAAGGCTTCTGGGCAAGTAGGAAACAAAAAAAACCCTAATTTGTATCAATCTTTGCAGACAACTTTCATAAATTAAAAATTTTCCATACATGACATGCTATGAAAAAGACCCAGATAGACACATTACCCCAGAGAAATGGGATTTGATCTGGAAAAGATGACCAGCAACCTCATAAAGCATGATAAAAGCAAATTTTCTTTAAGATACCGTTTCAATAGTACCTCACACCAGTCAGGTTAAGAATATATAGAGACTGAATGGGGATAAATGTTGGAAAAATTGTGGTGAAAGAGGAGATTTTATGCATATATGATGGATATGTCCAGTCATTAGAGAGTATTTGCAATCTGTAACCAAATAACACCAATTGCTGGATATTTATTACCAAATGCTCCTTTAGTAATCCTCCTGGGACTTCCCAGAGGAAATGGTCACACAAAAGAAAATGAAGAATTAAAATCTCATCTGCTATGGCTATTGATAGCCTCTCATTGGAAAAAGAAAAATAGCCCAACCGTAGAGAAATGGTTTAAAAAAAAGGCGATTCTTATGGAAAAATCAGCACCTCAATTCCATCCATAGCAAAATAGACAGAGGACAGATAGATACTTAGATGTTTGATTACCTTTTATTCAATACTCAGAAAAAAGAAAAAGAAAAAGAAAAAAAGAAAAGGGACACTAAACTATCTAAACTACTACATGCCACAAGGGGCCACAACAGTGGTTCCCTTAACCCACCCAGCAATATTGTTAATCTTTCCAGCTATACTCTTAGCCCAGCAGAAGAATCTGTCCTATCTCGGGGCCTCTCCTTCTGCCCCTCCACCCCCACGAACATGATACAGTTCTGTGGTGACCTAGAATCCTATTTTCGACGTCTCCGACTCAGGGAATATTTCCAGCACACCTCTGAACAACATACTAATCCACAGAGACCTCCCTACCAACACTACAAAAAGAGGGATTCTGGGTGGACTCCTCCTTAAGGTCGAAACAACAGATTGGACTTCTACATAGAGTGCTTCCGCCGACGTGCACAGGCTGAAATTGTGGAAAAGCAGCATCACTTGCCCCACAACCTCAGCCGTGCAGAACACAATGCCATCCACAGCCTCAGAAACAACTCTGACATCATAATCAAAAAGGCTGACAAAGGAGGTGCTGTTGTCATCATGAATAGGTCGGAATATGAACAAGAGGCTGCTCGGCAGCTCTCCAACACCACTTTCTACAAGCCATTCCCCTCTGATCCCACTGAGGGTTACCAAAAGAAACTACAGCATTTGCTCGAGAAAATCCCTGAAAAAGCACAAGAACAAATCCACACAGACACACCCCTGCAACCCCAACCTGGGGTATTCTATCTACTACCCAAGATCCATAAACCTGGAAATCCTGGATGCCCCATCATCTCCGGCATTGGCACCCTAACAGCAGGATCGTCTGGCTATGTAGACTCCCTCCTCAGGCCCTACGCTACCAGCACTCCCAGCTATCTTAAAGACACTACTGACTTCCTAAGGAAACTACAATCCATCGGTGATCTTCCTGAAAACACCATCCTAGCCACTCTGGATGTAGAAGTCCTCTGCACTTTATACTTTGCTCTGACATACCCATGCACTGGCTGTTTCTGTCAGAGACATACAGTTAGGTGGGCCACTGGTTTGGTTTGGTAAGGCAATTCCTATACCACTAAAGAACATCTGTTCTTCTCGATACTGACAACATCTTAACTTTTATAAACATAAAGACTTAACAATATTCAGTTCCTGGTGGAAGGTGTGATCCCTTTTATGCTTCAGAACCTAGCAGAATAACAAATAGAATTTGATTATATCATTTGATAAGGTCATTGCATATTGAAAACTACAAATAAACTATTGAAATTCACCTGGCAGGCCTCCCAGGAGAGATACATTATCCTTCTTCTTATTTACATCTGCCTAAATTGCTACCAGATGGTTTCAATAAGGGCTGGTTTGGGGTATTTGCATTGCTTTCCTCCCCTACCCTTGCCACCTTTTCTGTAAAAAGACTTTGGACAACATCTTAGGACATGTGACCTCATGAAATAACGTAACATGACGTGTAACAAACCAAACAGACAAAAAATGAAGTTTATAGTTGTGCAAATGCTTAACTGTCCATACCAATTAATTATAGGCTGATGATACTGGAAGCTCAGCAAACCCATTACTTTAGAAACAAGAGCAAATGCACATTTATTCAAGATGTGAGGAAGATAAATGAATGATAAATTAAACAGGAAAGTCGCTATCCTAAAGAGAGAGATATCTAGGGAATGTTTTATAATGGAAGTTTATGGCATGAATTCAGGATTGGTGGCTCTGAAATCTGATAAGGGAAACCATATCTATCATCCTTTTTCACTGAGAAAATTTTACATTAATTAATAATTTACGTCAAGCCAAAGAGACTTCTCAGAAGGAAAGAAAAATCCCAGCTTCGTGTTTATATGCACTTTTCAAACTGGTATTTATGCAAACTGTGCATT